GCGACGGCGGCGGCAGCGGGGCCGCCGCCTCCACCGCGGCCTCTCTTCTCTCCGGCCGCCTCGCAGAGCACGTCCTCGCCAGACTCTCAGGCTGTGTGCGACTCTGCGGGCGGCGCGGCGGCGGCGAGAGGGCAGCACGGGGCGTCCGAGGCGCCCTCCTCGCAGCCGGAGCCCGGCCTCTACCTGCCGGCGGAGGCGCCGTTTGCGATCCATCACTCTCAGGCCTACCGGCGCGGACAGTGCCGCCAGATGGGGACGCGAGACGGGAGTGTGGGGCCGGCGGCGACGCTCCCACCCGCCGCCGGCGCGACATTCCGGGTGCCTGAGACGCCGGCAGGGAGTCAGGCGGCGTGGTCTCAGGGGCCGCCGACGGAGTCGCAGCCGGGCGAGTGAGTCATTACCACGGTACGGGGTACTGACGTCCCCCAGCGCGGGAAATACAACAACAACATGTACATGTGCAACAAGTCTATAGTCTACTCGCGAGACTGCTGACTGGTTTCGCGGGTCAATAGAGGACGGGTGCGCGACCCAGTTCCGGTGCCACCCGACAGACATGACAATCATGGCGACACCGATACAGACAGCCCAATGTCACAGCATCACCGCCCCATCCGCAGCCATCACCCCATCAGCATGCAACTTGCTTTGCTTTTGGCTTATTTACCCTCGCATCGCGTGCCATGTCGCATGTGCATGTCGCACGGATGAGGCTTGAGGGATGTCGGTCGGACTCGATGTCGCAAAACACGTGCGGTACCGCGGGGGTGCTGTCTGCTGACTCGTGAGGACTGCTGTGTGGTGTGTGCGGGGCGGAGCAATGTGCGGTGTATGTAGACTGAGTAGACTGTATGATTACATGCTCAATGCAACGGGGATGCACCACAATACGGATGCTTACACGACACTGCAGTGTATATGCAGACACATTTGTTCTCTGGCCCGCTCGAGGGATGCGGGGGCGCGACAGATACACGAGATTGTAATTACGAGAGAGAGGGCACGCGTTCGGTTGTTGTCTCGTGCCGCAGCTATTGCGGCGCTCGGCAAGGGCCGAGCTCAGTCGTACGGGTTTCGCGCGCCGCGCACGGCCGCGTCTCCAAGACGAGCGGCGAGCGGCGAGC